TATGCCCCAGCAAGGACCCTATATGGCTTTAGCCTCCTTTCTCCTCCATAGCGTGACCAGAGAGGAGAAGATGCTGCAGGAGACCCTCTCTAGCACAGCGAGAAGTTGAGGGAAGGACAAAAGGAGGAGACTGACCTTACTGGACCCCCTTGTGCTGCCAGTGGGGGAAAGACACCAGTGTGGATTGAACAGTGTCCACTTCCTTACCTCTACCCGTGACTGTGACCTTACTTGGAAAAATGGTCTTTGCAGATGTAATTAAGTTAAGATCTTGAGATGAGCTCATCCTGAGTCCAGTGACTGCTGTGCTAGAGGGAGGAGAGGCGCAGACACACAGAGACGGCCTGTGAAGACAGGCAAGATTGCGTGATGCTGCCACGAGCCCAGGGATGCTGGGAACCAGAAGCTGGGAGACACAGGAAGGACTCTCCCTCTCAGGGTTACTGTGGTCCCTGCAGAATGCATTTGGAAGTGGCTCTGTAAACAGCAGAGAGCTAAGCAAATTCAGTATTTGAGGTTGGGTTTTATTTTCCAAAGGCCTCAGTAAGCATGTGTGGATCTGACCCATGTTGGATTGGGTCCTGTGTCTCTTCAGGGTAATGGGCGGAGGGACCATAAACGCAGGGGGCAGGGATGGGCAGCGGTCAGAGGGAGGCAGGGAAGCTTCAGAGGGAGCACGGCTCTGCTAACGCCCTGACTGGGGACTTCCGGCCTTCAGGACCATGGGAGAGTACACGTGTGTTGTTTTAAGGTGCTGTGCATGGTCATTTGTCACAGCAGCACTAGGAAACCACCGGCAACATGGACCCCTTGTCTGGATGTAGTGGCAGAAAAGAAACCTCTGAAGAAATTCCCATAAAGCAAGTCCTTGCCATTAGCAGCCATTTCTTCCTCCATTAATGAGGCAAATACCTCCAGCCCTGATGAGATCATGCCTCATCAGCAGGGCAACTCCCACGGTGCGGGTGAGGCTGCTCTAGGTTTCACACTGCTGGGTTCTGGCACCTCTCCCAGCCTCTGTATTCTCATCTGCCAAGTGGGCCAGTAAGCCCTGCCTGGTGACTCCATTGCCGGGGAGATCAGAGGAGGGAGCGGACTTACGTATTAGGGTAGGGTTGAGTGCCAGGGAGCCGAGAATGCCCGTGAAGGACCAGAGTCTGGCCATGTTAGCTGAGCACGATGGTTTCTGTTGTACCTTTTCTGCTGTTCAACAAGGCTTTGTAAACAAATACAATGTCTGGGTCCACCCAGGAGGAGCTGGTGAGTGCCTGAGGGGTAGACACCTGGTGGGGGTGGTTCATGAACATAGAGTAGTGATATCTGATATGGTGCCCCTTGAATACACGGGCATTTTGAGTCACATGGATTGGGGTAGGACTGTTTTCCCCCAAAAAGGCTTTTTGAGTTATGCTGTAAAGATGTCAGAGGGAGACTGACATTTAAGACTGGAGCTCTCCTTCCTTCCCACCCTCGCCGGGACTCCCTCCGCCCATTGTTGTGAGGAGACTGCTCAATCCAGTATCAGTCAGTTCCATAAATGTTTACTGAGGCCTTTGGAAAATAAAACACAACTCCAAATACTACGTTTACCCAGCACTCTGCAGTTTACAGAGCACTTCCAAATATACTCTGTGGTCACCACAATAATCCTGAAAGGAAAAGATTATTCTCTCCCACTCCACAGATAAAGAAACTGAGGGTCAGAGAAGAGAAACAACTTGCTCCAAAGCCATTTGAACAGAGGTTGCCTCACTCCCGAGCTGCTCTGCACCGTCTCCTCGCTGCCTTGCTGTCACGTCATGTGCTATCTCACTGGGTCATGGGGCTTGTGCCTCTTCCCACACCTGTATCTTCCCAGCTGGTATGGGCACGAAATCCTCTGCGGTCTGCAGCGTTCAGCCTGGCTTTCCAGCTCTGTGCAGCTCCCTCCTTCCAGATCCTGCCTGTGATTCCAGCTCCTCTCCCTTGCTCAAAAGGATCCCACCTCTGCACCTTGCCTCTCTCCTTCTTCCTGACCACTGGTGCGTATCCCAACCCTTCACGCATTCCAGGGCTCCCTGGGCTGCACGGGAGGCCCAAATCCAGCAGAGTCCTGAAGTCCTGGGTCCAAGTTCTAGCTCTGCTACTAACTTCCTGTGACTGTGTGACCTTGGGCAGGCCACTTTCCCTCTCTGGGCCTCCATTTCATCACTATGAAATAGGAGTATTGAACACAATACTCTTTTTTTTTTTTTTTTTCTGAGACAGAGTCTTGCTCTGTCACCCAGGCTACAATGCAATGGCAAGATTTCAGCTCACTGCAAACCTCCGCCTCCTGGGATCAGGTGATTCTCCTGCCTCAGCCTCCTGAGTAGCTGGTACTACAGGTGAGCACCACCATGCCCGGATAATTTTTGTATTTTTAGTAGGGATGGGGTTTCACCATGTTGGTCAGGCTGGTCTTGAACTCCTGAACTCGTGATCCACCAGCCTCAGCTTCCCAAAGTACTGGGATTATAGGCGTGAGCCACCACGCCCGGCCAAACACAATACTCTCTAAATGCATCTCCAGGTGGTCTAAATACCCCCCTCCCCAGCCCCTCCCTGCCCTTCCTCCTCCTGTGATCATCCTGTGTGCTCACCATCCATAATTTCCCTCCTGGCTCCACATCTTTCTCCAAAGCATTCATGTTCAATCATTCAGCTAAACTTTAAATTCCCTAAGAGCAGAGGAGGGCATTTTTGGCCAAGACGTGCAGATCAGTTCATCAGTAATCCACTGACCGCCTCTATGCAGGTTGGGAGCCTCTTTATCTTCCCTGTTTAGTTTCCCCAAGGTGCGCACACAGATGCCTGCAGCAGGCAGGAGTCTGTGTGAGCACAGGGCATCTCTGCTTACCTTGGCTGCTGCTGGTGGGGTGCCTGTCTGTGCTGTGCATGCTGCAGCATCGGCAAGGTGGGCAACCAGGTTAGTGCCGGGCTTTGCCTCCCAGAGAACGCTTCACACTCTTTTCTGCCCCTGAACCCATCACTGGCCCAGGCATCAAAAGGTGGTGTCAGAGAGCACACAGCCCTGTGCTGTCCCCTTCAAAGAGCTTCATATCTAATATCTCACTGAGTCCCCCAACTAGCCTTGGAAAGGAAAAGCAGGGATTGTTAATCTCCATTTTGTAGATAGTGAGGGGCTTGTTTAAGGCTACTCTGAATTCAGCAAAGAGCCGGGACTGAGCTCCACTCTTTTTGTGCCCATTCTTGTCAAGCTCTGGTCTGCAGAATATACATACAGCTAGTGCTCGACTTATGACCACGGTCGGGACTGTGGACTGGTCGTAACACGATTTGGTCGTAAGTTGAGTAGGCTATATGTACAGTTGAAATGGTGCACGCGGAGATGGTAGTGCTGCTGGAAGCTGGTCTGCACTGTCGTACGCTCAGCTGGGCAACGTTTGCGCTGCCAGACGCGGAGCAGTCGTGGCTAGCGATTGTGGTCGTAAAGTCGAATGGTCGTAAGTTGCATAGGTCGTAAGTCGATCAATACCTGTACCTGTCTCTGGGCAGTCCCCAGGCTCTTTCCCTTTAAGAACTTAGATCTGAGGCCAGATGTAGTGGCTCACACCTGTAACCCAGCACTGGAAGGCTGAGGTGGGAGGATCACGTAAGGTTGGGAGTTTGAGACCAGCCTGACCAACATGGAGAAACCCCCATCTCTACTGAAAATACGAAATTAGCTGGGTGTGGTGGTACATGCCTGTAATCCCAGCTACTCCAGAGGCTGAGGCAGGAGAATTGATTGAACCCAGGAGGCAGAGGTTGCGGTGAGCCGAGAATGCACCATTGCACTCCAGCCTGGGCAACAAGAGTGAGACCTTGTCTCAAAAAATAAACAAGAACTTAGGTCTGAGAGGACAAGTGCACGTGCGCACACGCACACGCACACACACACGCACACACACACACACCCTTACAAGATGCACAGCCACCAAAAGGCCTAATAAAGCAAGGTGCCCAATACCACAATTCAGGATCCACAAAAATGGCCAGAGGTAATTGACTGCAACCTAGTCACTGCAAATAGGGCAACTTAGGCCCGCAAAGGTCCAGAGACTTGTCCCAAGTCCCAGAGGAGACTAGAGCCCAGGTCTGTGGACCCCAGGTCCTGTGCTCTCTCCGCTGTCCACGCCCTCAGTAAGCAAGGCAAGGCAGGGAGGAGCAGGAGCTCAGAGAGCCTGGGGCTGAAGGAGGGGAGGACGGAGCCCGGTGGGGAGTTTGGTCCACAGGGGTGGATGTTCCAACCTTTATCTGGCAGGATCCGAGTGGGGTCATGAGGTACCTGCAACCTGTTCCTTCAGCACCTGAAAGAAGCCACAGAGGCCGGTTCCCAAAGCCAAATGTTTCTTTGCCCTCTGTGTCCCCTCATCTCTTATCGCTGTGTCCACTGAGTGGCAGAGGTCCGGGCCCAGCACCTTGCAGTCTAGGAGCCCGTAATCTGCGACAGGAGACCTGGGAAAAGGTGAGGGCTGGCAGAGGACCCCCCCACCCCCACAGCACTCCAAGAGAGAGGGGTGGAAGTCACTTCAAGGGTTCAGAGCGGCCAGAAGCCTCTCCCACCAGGGACGGGGACCCCGCGGTGGGGCTGCGGGGCACACAGTTGTTTTTCCCTCCCTCCCTGCACTCCACCCCATGCAGTTTTCCAGGGGGAAGCTCTGTAGCTCTCCTTGCCTCAAGGAGGCTCTGCAGCCTCCCTGCAGGCCCTCGGCCCCTGGGGTGGAGGTGGGCTGGGGTACATGTGCCCTAGGAGAACGGGGTGTGAGAGGCCTAGCATGCCCCCTGACTCCCTGGCTTATGGCTTTGGTGGCACCTCAGACTTTGGAGTGGGGGGTGGTGGGGTGGCGAGCCTTTGGAGGTCACAGACACGGGGTCGGTGGCACGTGATGAGGCGCAGGCCTGGCTCAGGGAGTGGTGCCCACAGCCCTCGGCTCCTCCCCTGGGGCCGCCCCGCCCCGCGCGGGAGGGGACGGGCGGGGACCGGCGTGGGTAGGCGCGGCGACCCGCAGGGCCAGGTGCAGCGCCTGCGAGTCCGGGGTCGCCGCGGCCCGGGAGGAGCGTCTGGTCTCGGGCCCGCCTGTGCCGTCCCTGCGCCCTGTCCCCGGGACGCCGAGACCCTCGGAACCCAGGTAACCCCAGGCGACGCCCCGCCGTGCCCGGCCCCCCCACCTCTGGGTCCACTCGCACCCGCCCGCCGCGGCCCTGCGCCGGTGGAGCCCGGGTGGCCGCTCCGAGGGCGGGTCTTGGAAAGTTTGAGCCCGGGCGGCCCTGACGCGGCGGCGGGCGGCGCGGCCACTTTTGTCGCGCGCGGGGTCGGTGTGAAGGTGGGGCGGCCGCCGCCTTGCACAAGGCTCTCTGCTGCCATCGGGGTGCGGGGGGAGGCGGGGGGTGTCTTGCCTGGTCACACCTTGTCTCTCACCCTCCAGGGCTTTTGCGCGGCTTACCTTTCCTCCACCGCCCCCCTCCCTCCACCCCTCACTTTAATAAAAGCCTTGGATTGGGGCTGCACAGTTGGCGACTTCTTTACATCTGGGCTTCCCTCCTCCTGAGCCAGATGTGAGCCGGGACTGAGCGGGACAGTGTGGGTGAGGGGCGGCCCTCTACCCGCGGGGGTCCGTCCCAGCCCTAACGAATTGGGTGCCCAGCTCCAAGGAGTTCCCTGTGCTCTGTCACTGGCCGCAGTCCCCAGCTGAGCATCTCTTGGCTCCCCCAGCACTTCCAGTCCCAGTCGGAGGAGCCCAGGAGAGGGGGTGGACCCCAGTCCAGCAGAGCCAGAGCTCAGGAGCCCGGTAACTCTCATCCATGAGCAGAACCGGCTTCCTCCCACTTAGGGTGGGAGGAGGGCTCAGCTTAGTGGGGGTCGGGGGGTGACAACTGCCCCTTCCCACGCAGAGCCAGAGAAGAGATGGGGAGAAGTCAGGGGATCTGAGAAGAGCTGGCGGCCAGCAGGGACACATCCCTGATGTCATTTGAACCTAACAAACAAATGACAAGTAGATATTAGCACATGGGCAGATGAGGAGACAAGGAGGCCCAGCGAGGCGCAGCCCTTCGCTGGAGAAGCGGATGGACTTTTCTCCACACTGAGTGGACGGTGCCCCGCCACAGCCTTCCAGAGCCGGAGGGTTGCTTCTGCATTCTTGCAGTGCCCTGGACTCAGCGGGGTTTGTTTCTTCCCCGGATACTCCCCACCCCACTAGGTTCTTCCCGTGACAGGGGTTCACGGGACTGGGCACCTCCAGGCAGACACAAACTCCAGTCAGGAAAGTCCTCCAAGAGCCAGCCAGTGCCTTGCTAAGCTCCCAGAGCTGCAGGAGGGCAGGGACCTGCTTTGTTTCCTGCGGTAGCCATAGTACCTGGCACAGGGAAGGCGCTCTGCCAGAATGGAGTGAACTCGCTGCCTTATCTCTGCCCTTGGCAAGCAGAAAGGGCACTCTGAAAAGCTGGAGCAGAAAGGTGTTCAGCCCCACCACTGAGATTCCTTGGCATCCTTACCCACGTGGAGAAACTTTTTCTCCTTACCCCAAAAGCACATCCTTAATCCTATGTGCTTTTCTTTCTTTTCTTTTCTTTTTTTTCTTTTGAGACTGAGTCTTGTTCTATCACCCAGGATGGAGTGCAGGGGCGCAATCTCAGCTCAGCACACTGCACCCTCTACCTCCTGGGTTCAAGTAATTCTCCTGCCTCAGCCTCCTGAGTAGCTGGGATTATGGGTGCCCAACACCACGCTCGGCTAATTTTTGTATTTTTAGTAGAGACAGGGTTTCACCATGTTGGCCAGGTGGGTCTCAAACTCCTGACCTCAGGTGATCCACCTGCGTTGGCCTCCCAAAATACTGGGGTTACACGAATGAGCCACCGTGCCCAGCCCCCATGTGCTTTTCCAGAAAGACGGGGCACTTTGGATTTATCCTCAACCCACATCTCGTCCTGCCAAGGAGAGGCAGGGGCGGGTGGGTTCCATGCCCAGCTTAGCCTTACCCTAGGCTGGAGGCAGAGCAACTTTGTCTCTTGACATAGAATTCTTACCCATCCCTTCAGGGGTAAGAATTGGAATTACTTGGAAATTTTAATCTTCATTGTCTTCTCTCTCTCTTTACCACTCCATGGGACAGCTATGAATTAGGGGAAGAGAAGGTGGTTTTCTGGGTCTCAATTTCCTCATCTGCAAAAATGAGAACAGACCCTGCATGGTTTTAGGAGATAGTAAGTGGTTCCAAAGGGCTCTGTAGGCGGTGAAGCAAACTGTAAGAGTGGACTTATTTTCTCATGTGTCTTCGCCTGGCCTCTCCAGTTGGCTGTAAGTTCTTTTGCAGCATCTTGGCATCTCTCACTCATTCTAAGCACACAGATTTGTAAGACGTATTTTCGAAAATAATCCCTACAGGAAGAGAAATTGTGGATTCATAAGAAATCGGGGGAGCTTTTTGTTTTTTTAGCCCAGCGTCCTTGCATATAGACATATGTGTACACACACACACACACACACACACACACACACACACACATTTTGAGACAGGGTCTTGCTCTGTTGCCCAGGCTGAAGTGCAGTAGCACGATCTCTGCTCACTGCAACTTCCGCCTCCTGGGCTCAAGCTCAGCCTCCTTAGTAGCTAGGACTATAGCGCGCACCATCGTGCCTGGCTAATTTTTTGTATTTTTTGGTCTTATGGAGGTGAAGTCTCACTATGTTTGCTGTCCAGGCTGGTCTTGAGCTCCTGAATTCAAGCGATCTGCCTGCCTCTACCTCCCCAAGTGCTGGAATAACAGGTGTGATCCACTGTGCCCAGCCAGAAATGGGGACTTTCAAATCCCTCTCCCTCCCTCCTCATGTGAGGGAAGGGGACACCCTGCCACGCAGGGGAGGGTCAGTTGGAGGGAAGGAAGGTTCTGAGAGCCCCTGTAGGTGGAGGTGGCCAGTGTCTTGTTCATCGAAGACCAGGGCAGAGTGAAGGATGTAGAAGAGTCCCTGGCACTGCCCTGAGGATGCCGCCCACCTGCTTTGAAGAAATCCTCCCCTTGGTCAGGAATTTTGAGGCCCTGCCCCAGGAACCCTGTGTGACCCCTGGACTCCTCAGCAGACCCAGGTGTCTGCCTTTGACCTGAGGACAGGCCAGCATGCCAAGATTGGTCAGTTCTGTTGCCTGGGGGAAGCCACTGAGAGACTGACTGGGGCTCAAGCCCGTGCACAAACCTACCACCCCTGCCATCCCCGAGAGCTGTCCCTGTACTCACACATGGCCCTGCCCAGTTTCCTGCCACCATTCTTGGCTCCTACCAAGGATCCAGCAGAGTAAGAGGTTTAAACCCAGAGTCTCTAAGCTGGACAAAGCCTTAGCAGCTGTGTCTCCCGTTTCTTCTCTGCTTCATTTTCCGTAGCTCATATCCGCTTCTGACAGCCAAGAGATTTCCCTCTTTAATCTTGTTTGCCATCTGTCTTCCCTGTTAGAATATCAGCTCTGTGAGGGCAAGGCTTTCCGTCTCTCTCATTCCCTGGTCTATCTCCAGGGATCAGAATGTAGTAGGTGCTCAGTTAACATGTGCTGAGTAGATGAACACATCCAACGCTCCCATTCTCAGTTTACAGATGAGGAGACTGAGATCCAGAGGCGAGGAGTGACTCTTGGAGGCAGAGCTGGAGCTTTTCCTAATTAGACTCAAGTTAATTTAAAGTTGGGTCTCTGTCCCTCACTTTGAATTACCTTGGTTGCTAGGGGTGCTTAAGAGGCCCTTGGCAAGAACCTTCAGGCCAGCTGCCTCCAGAGTTACCCAGAGGGGCACCTCCCCTACCCCACCATCCTTGTCCCCAACCACTGTCTGTGGGCTCCTTGCTCCTGAAGAGGGTGAAGACCTGACCTAAGACAGAGCTTCATGCACTGCTGCTCTGGCCTTCTTTTTATTACACGGTGACTGCGAGTTAGCTGACTTTCAGCGGCAGTGGATGGAAAAGCACACCTGTTGCAACATGATGTGAGTCAGTGGTTCATAAATAATGGGATTGCACCATCAGCTCTGGTGCCCTGGTTTCTGGCTCTCAGTTGGAGACACAGTGTGGGCTCCTTGGCGAAAAGGGTAAAGGTGACTCTAGACGTCAGTTTGAAATTAAGCAGGATGGCAGTGGGGATCCAGCAGGTGCGAGAGATACAGTCATTTCTGGCATCTAGCAAAAAAGATGATGCCCACAAAGCAGTGATCCAAGGTTTAATTCTTACCCATGTCCTGTCCTCCAATCCAGGTTTTGCCTTACACAGTCACCCTGTCTTCTGATCTTGACCTCAGCCAGGACCACCCCCAGCATGCTATGGACTTAAGGGGTAAGTTTTGCCCAAGCCTCAGACAGGGAGGGTCATTCTGCCTGGACACACCGTAGCCCCTTAAGACAGTCTTCTGATTATTTGGGAGCCCTGTGGCCAAGCTGATTGGCTCACTTTGGTGGGATTCATTTGGAGCCTGCCAGAGACACAGAGCCCAACGATGATGGCTTCTGGACCCCAGAGTCCCAAATTCAGCCACTCCACTAGCTTTCCACTGGTCTTGGAGTTGGTCGCTGCACTCCTGGGAGCTGAAGGCTGGTGTGGTTGGTAGAAAGCCCTGGATTTTAATTCTGACACTATCTAATGCACAGTGTGACTTTGATCCTGTCGCTCTCCATTTGCCTCAGTTTCCTCTTCTGTACAGCTTGAATTCATCATGGTTTCTTAACCTCAGCACTATTGCCTTTTGGGACTGGATAATTCTATTTTGGGGGGGGAATTGGAGGGGAGGGTGCGGTGCATTGTGGAGGTGGGCAGCAGTCCTGGCTTCTACCCACCAGACACCACAGCAGCACGTCCCCTTCCCTTCCTGGCAAACAAAACTGTCTCCAGACATTGCCAAATGTCCTCTCGGGGACATCCCATCTCTGGTTGAGACCCCTAGGTTAAATGATCTCTGAAGACCCTCCCAATGGTCATCCTCAGGACAGGGGAGACCGTTTTCTCTTCCCAGCCTGTTTCATGAATGTGGACTGTGTGAATGAAGAGTCAACAGGTGGGCTATGCAGGGACTTACAGGTGGAGGGGCCCCCTGGACCTCATGCTGACAGCCAAGGCCAGTTCCCTTCGCTTTCCAGACCTTGGGTTATATAAATTGGGGTGGGGGCTGGGGCTCGGAGTGACGGGGAGAGAGGTCTGTGGTCTGGGCCCACACACTAAGGTCAGTGGCCTTCCAGTGCAGGGCAGCATGGTGACTAATCATCTATCCATGCCCCAGGACCCAGCCCCCCAACTTTCCCCTCTCACGCTGCCCTGGGAAGGGACACAGGAAGTGAATCAGCACACCCACCAAGCAGAGGAGGGAGGGGGGTGGACTGTGCTGTCATTAGATGCAAGGTCATGTCTGTGCTGGCCTACTCTGGGTTTTTATTTTGTTTATTTCTCCCAAGTTAGCTGTTTATTAACTTCGTCCGCCGAATTCCCCCTTCTGACCTTGTTGCTTAATGGAAGGACGGAAGATCTTTGGTGGGGGAGGGGTTTGTTGATGAATAGTAGAGGTAAATCGCTGTTCTGGGGAGAACAGGCTGTGAGGTTTGGGATAGTACTAACCCAGAACTATTGCTTTGGGGGATTCATTCCTTCACTGAAGAAACTCTGCTGTGGACGTGGGCTGGATGTGGGGCAGGAGAGGGGAATGAGACAGAGTGCCTGCCTGCAGAACCCCTTGGTCTGGGAGGGTAGACATGAGGCCGTCCCTGCAGGGCACTGGGAATGTGCATGCAATGCATGGAGCAGGGTGTGGGCAGCTCCACGCAGCTGGGTCGTGGGGAATTGGGGTTGGGCGGCAGGGGCAACACACGTGTTTGGGGAGGTGACGGGAATGTTCAGGGAGCTTCCTGAGAGGAAGAGGTGGATTTTTTGTTTTGCTATTTTGTTATTGCCTTTTGCTATTGTGGTAAAACATACAAAACATAAGATTTACCATTTAATCATCTTTAAAGCTCGAAATCCACCGTCATTAAGTGTGTTCTCACTGGTATGCAGCCGTCACCCCCACCCATCTCCACAGCTTTTTGTCATCTCCCAATTGAAACTCTGTGCCCAATAAACGCTAATTTCCCGTTTCCCCTCCCCGCGACCCTGGTAACCACCATTCTCCTTTCTGTCTTTTTATGAACCCGACCACTGTGGATACCTCCTGCAAGTGGAATCATGCTGTGTTTCTCTTCTTGTGACTGGCTGATTTCACTTAGCACAGTGTCTTCAAGGTTCATTCATGTTGTGGCATGTGACAGAATTTCCTTCCTTTTTAAGGCTGCATAATATTCCATTACATGTACACAACTGTTTCTTTTTGAGAGAGATAGTCTCGCTCTGTCACCCAGGCTGGAGTGCAGTGGTGCGATCTTGGCTGGTTGCACCCTCCGCCTCCCGCTATATACCACATTTTGTTTATCATTTGTTCCGACACTTCGGTTGCTTTACCTCTTGTCTGCTGTGAATGATGTTGCTATGAACATGCAAATATCTGTTTGCATCCCTGCACTCACGTCCTTTGGATGCATGCCCAGAAGTGGAGTATCTGGATCATATGGTGATTCTACGTTTAAGTTTTTGAGAACTGCCAAAGTATTGAGAAAGAGGTGTTTGTTTGAACTAGGTTTTAAGGATGAGCATGGGATCTCTGGGCACCTCAGGGGGAAGGGGAGGGGAGAGGAGGGAAGGGAAAAGCCCAAGCTGCCTGAAGAAAGGGGCACCGAGGTGTTGGTCCCTGGGGCAGGAGATGAGGCCATGGAGGGTGGGAGGGGCTGGGGAGAATATGGAAGGTCTTGCACCCTTCATCCGCCCCCACCCGAGGCTGGAGAACTTGGTCTCTGCCCTGTGGACAGTGAGAAATGTCCAGGGAGTTTTCATCAGAAAGTGAGACAGGCCGATGGTCATCTTAGAAGGACAGTGGGGAGGAATGTTCCAGGTGGACTGAGAGAGAAAGAGGCTTGAGGCAAGAAGACCAAGTAGGAAAAAGCTGGGGGACCCTGTGGCTATCGGTGGGGAGGTGGAAGGAGCAGGTCTGAGGGGCGCCTTGCTGCACAAGGGTGCCCAGAATTCTGGTTTGTTGGCTGGGCTGACAGTGGCGCAGCCACCTGGGTAAGCTCACTGGAGGAGCAGCTGGTTTGACAAGATGTGGAGTAGATGCGTTTAGGCCTGGGGGCTTTAAAGGGCCCACAGAACCACAGGGAGATGAACTGAGAGTCGAGGAATTGACAAGTGTGCAAAGGCGGTGCAGAGTACGGGGTGAGAAGCCGGTCAAGGACCAAGGCAAGGACTGCCGTCAGGTGACCTGAAGGGCCCTGCAGAGTTGGAGGCCAGGACATGGGGCGGCTTCTGCTCAGTGTGGCTCAATCCCTGCCCCGGGCATGTCATATCAATCCACACATTCTCTCAGACAAGCTCGAGGATGTATGCTTGGGTTGGACACTGTGGGTGGAGATCCAGACGTCAACATGCCTCATTGACGTTAATTCATGTATTCATCCCGTCAAGCGCAGAGAATGGAACCTGGCCAATACCTTTGCACAGCTAAAGACTGAATGGTGATGGCAGGTGTGCAGGAGAAATGGAGTGTGTTATGGAAATGTGTCGTGGGGACATGACAGGCTAGGGCAGGATTTCTCACTTTGGCCCTGCTGACATTTTGGGCCAGATAATTCTCTGTCATGTGGGACTGTCCTGTACACTGGAGGATGTTTAGCAGTGTCCCTGGCTGCGATGCAACCGATTCCAGTAGCCACAACACCCACTCCCTGCTTGTGACAACCAAAAATGTCTCCAAACATTGCCGAATGTCTACTGGGGGGCAAAACCACACCAGGTGAGATCCATGGGTCTAGGCATCAAAAAAGGCTTCTTTGAGATAGTTACGTTAATCTGAGTTCCAGAAGACAGAGAGGAATTAATCAGGGTACAGCAGGGGTGGAGAGTGGAGGACAGGAATCAAGGCACAGGCTCCAGCAAATGCAGAGGCCCTGGGGTGGGAGACAGCGCGGAGGCAGCAGTGAGGAACCTGGTGTAGCTTCCTCACTGAATGAGTGGGGAAGGCTTTGATAGGGAGAGCAGTGGTGGAGCGGGGAGAGAAGGGTCAGATTCTAGGGATTTTCAAGAGGGAACACTCTAGGTTCTGATGACTGAAAGGGTTTGGACATGAGAGTGCTAAGGAAATCCCCCATGTGCAGAGAATGAAACCGACTAGAAGCTGGTGAACTACATTTGGAGCATGCTGGGTTGGAGATACCTGGGAGACAGCAGGTGGAGTGCTGAGCCCGGAAGAGAGATACACAGTTGGAAGCTCTATGTGTACACGTGATGAGAGAAGCCTGCGTGGATGGGACAGCCCCAGGAGAGCCTGCGGACTGAGAAGGGGAGCGTGGAGAGAAGGGCCTGGCAGGGAGCAGCAGGAGCTCCAACATTTAGAGATGGAGAACACGTTCTGAGAGAGAGAGTGGAGAGCCCCACAGAGAATGGGGCTGTGGAGGCCCTGGAAGAGGGCTCCAGGTGAAGGGCACGGCCCATTGTGAAGCCTGCAGAGCACGAGCGAGTGAGGTGAGGAATGAGAAGTGCTACGGGGAGAAACCAGACTGAGATGGTTGAGGACTGGGCAGCAGGTGGGAAGAGACGCAGCTGGCAGACAGTTTTTCCAAAAATGTGTCAGTAGAGGTGAGGAGAGAGTGAAAAAGCCAGAAAGAGAAGTGGGTTAAGGATCTCACTAGGAAGAGTTTTCACCCCCATCTCCCGTGATCTCCTGGTTCCCTCCCTCCTGGAGGCAACGTTAGCAGTCCCATGCATGTTAGGAGACATACATAGATTCTTTCCCCCAGATGGTGGTACATGCGTCCACTCTGCCCCTGAGTCTTGATTTTCCACTTAGCTATCTAATGTAAGGTTTTTTCATATCAGTACATAGAGAGCTGCTTCTTGGCCAGGTGAGGTGGTTCATGCCTGCAACCCCAGCACTTTGCGAGGCCGAGGCAGCAGATCACCTGAGGTCAGGAGTTCGAGACCAGCCTGGCCAACACAGTGAAACCCCGTCTCTACAAAAAGACAAAAATCAGCCAGGCATCATGGTAGGTGCCTGTAATCCCAGCTACTTGGGAGGCTGAGGCGGAAGAATTTCTTGAACCTGGGAAGAAAAAAAAATGCTTTATGACTGCGTATGGATGTCACAGAACTTATTTAACTAATCTGTTTTTTGGACACGGGGGGGTGGGGTTTAGCCTTTTGCCACCAAAAATGATTTCCCACAAAATCCCCTTGTACCTCAGTCACTTTGCAAATATGGGTGGCCA